ATGAAACTTGGTAATATTTGTATTGATCAATTGCTCAGGAGAGCATATTTAATATTATACTTTTGTAGTTGGTATATTGTTATGTAATAATTAGCGCACAAATGTCCATATTATGAAACATTTAGATATTAAATTACACATAGCACGTAATAGATTTTATTAGCATATTGTATATGTTATATATTAACTTTACATGATTATATATATAAAATATTAAGGCTGAGGAGTATTATATTTGAAATTTTGATAGTAGAAAACATTAACGACATTAAACTTATTGTAAAATTGAGTATCAGCCAGCACTTTTTATATGCAGTGTAAACTTATACTGAAAAAGTAATTGAAACGATAGAAGTTGAACAAGCAACAAACTCTAGATGAATTGTGCAATTTAGGTTAGGTGTACAGAACAAATATAAAATAAATCTTATACAATCATTCTTCGAATTAATAATTACATAAGTACTTGATAGATAATTTTAATTGATTAGATAAAAATAAAATAACAGTAATTCTGATTCAAGACAGGAGATACCAACAAATAATTACTAGAAAATATTAGATAAATCTTTACACTGGAAAAAATAAGACAATATTTGACTTATCGTATAACTAATATTTGACTTATTGTATACAATCAAATTATAGGACACATTATAAATTGTCATAAAATACAATAGAAAAAAATCGAATACAAACAAATGTTGATTTGTTAGTATGAAATTAACAATACACATATATACAAAGCAATAAAAAAATTAATTCCATAATTATAATACTTTAAGATTTAAAAGATTCTAAAGTTTTTTGTAAACATCAATATATAGTCTCTATTATTGTACAGTTTATAGAATTTAATTATACTTCTTTGCAGAAAAATAATTTGTTACTGTACATTAACAATAACATAATATTATCATAATTTATATAATCTGTGCTAAAGCGTCAGGAAATGCCTTAATACTGAAATTTTATTCATTTTTAGCGTATTTATGTATATCTAGATTTGTCAATTTGTCCTGCCCCTTCTTAGTTCATAATATAATTGCTCATAATGTAGACTAAAAAAGGAAAATAAATATAAAATCAGAATTTTTGGAATTACAGTTTTCGAAAAATTGTAACTTGCACTACCTCTATATTTTAGTAATACTTCATAAATATTTAAATAATAATGAGTGAATAAATATTTACAAGATTTGATTTTTCGTATTTCGAATCCACGATAAAAAATTCAGAGAATTTTAGAATCGCAGTCCGGAAATTTTGATTGACGTCATCTTTTGTCGAATTATATACATATTCTGATATTTTGTCAATTTTTAACAATTACATTTTTGAGAATTACATTTTTGTTGATAATTAAAAAAGATAAAGAGTTTATCACAGTTAGTAAAAATAGGAATGATTGTATCGGTAACTTATCATCGTCACTTTAATTACCTGCAATAAAAAGTAAAATTTTTTTAAATTGATAATGTCAGAAGAATATAATTAAGAAATAACATAAATAAAAACTCTAAACAATACAATCCTAAACTGTAATTTTATTTATCCTTTTTTTTCTTCTTCATTAAGCACGATTAAAAAATAAGTAAAGTCTAAACACAACACGTGTACTTTAAATACATAAAATTTCATGCAATTTTACATTTGTCCTTAGAAGTCTTATGTATTTTTTGCACGAATTAAACATTTCCCAATATCATATTATTTAAAGTTTATTAAAAAATTACATAATAATTTCATTTTGATTAAATCATGACAAGTAAATTTCTCTTTTATTATTCGCGGATTTATTTTAAACGAATGATTTCGCATATCTCACTAGAAAATATCTTTTCACATATGAAATATTTTATTATAAAAATTATATTATTGATACTGTACATGCATAGTTGTGTACTAACATCCTTATGAATAATTCAGGGAATCCTAATGATAGAAAAAATTACTAACATTACAGGCTAAAGTTTTCTGAATTGGCTGTACAGATTGGAAAATCTTTTTACACAATTAAAGTACGCATAAAAAAGATGAGTCGGTCGATTTAACAAGAAAAATGGAAAAAGTTAAAAAAAATTACATTATCTTTAATTTAATTTTTTTTTATTTTTTCGTTAAATCAATCGTCTTGTATCTTTTTTATTTGTACTTTAATTGTATAAAAAGATTTTACAATCTATACAGTCAATTCGGAAAACTTTCTAATTTATAAAGTTGATACTTCTATCATCCTTAGAACCTCCTTAAATAAGAAATTAAAGAAATGACACTATCTTCTTCAATATCTATTTACAAAGTATTAAACAAAAAAATAAATTATGGTTAAAACATTAATAGCATTCACATAAATAAATCTGCCAAATATTCCTCAAATTCTTTTTCTCTTGTCTTTTCTACATCTTCAGCTGGTTTCTCTTTCCAAATATTTGATTCATTCGTGTCAGTATTCTCACTGATTTGTATCTCAGCTGAGCTGGACTCTGTCTCTGCTTTATTATCTGATTCTGGATTATTGGAAATAGTATGCACATCATTGCTACTTTCAGAATTTGTATCCAAACGCTTCAAAGATTTCCTCCTTTTCACCTCTCGCTTTTGTGATCGATAATTAAGTTTTACCGAACATTCTGGACAAAGTCCTTCACATAAAAAAAAAATATTTTATACGGAACAGTCTTATATGTATAGAATATAACTATGTTTGTTTCAACATACTTAATTTTACTAGCGCATTCTTCTTCTCGCCATGTTCTTCATAACCGAAATTAAGTTCCCAAGAACGCAAATCTTCCTTCTCTTTGCATGTTTTACTGCCGCACTCAAACTGTCCTTTTCCAACGATTACTTCCTTCTCGGTTCTCCATCTCAAAGCAATCTACATATATCACATATAAATTAATAATATTAATTAACTCTTAATTAACAAATTTTTATAATCAATTTAAATAATCAATATAGAGATATAAATAAAAACATTTCATACCTTATTACATTTATAATAAGTAAGATCACATATGCAATATTCCTTGAACAATTTGTCGTAATATTTCTTAGCTAATCTGCTACCCCATGTATCTGGAATATCCTTTTCTTGGTCCCAGAGAAACTTGTGGTTCTCTCTGATGACATCGTAATCAGTTTTGTCTCGGGACCTCGAAACGTCAAGCTGCTTGTTACAAAGTTTATCAAATTATAACTTTCATGTGCTACTAATTAATGATAAATCCATTGCAAGGAAACACTGTAAACTATGCTATTTTTAAATATAACAGCTCTCTTTAACTGTGCTCCATTTTCTATGTCAAGAAAGCAAAATAAACATAATGAAAGTTCTTCGAATTTTCAATCAAATTGCATTCACTGACCAGTATATTCTACTAATTACACTAATGAGTAAAATTACACTCTTACATTCAATTAAACAAAAAAGTCCAATTAAAAATGATTTAATATAACATCAATTTTAAATAAATATATTTATATATTTACAAATATTTACATTTAATATAAAAATTTTAAAGAGCTATGATTCAGGAATGAAGTATTTACAGACCTAATCATATTGTATTTTTACATTATTGGTATAATTACAAAATAGGCTAGTTAAATGTTGATTAAATATTTTCAGAAATACTTTTGATATATTGTACTGCTGGAGCAAACAAAAAAAAAAATATAAAACTGAAGAATCACACAAAGTGATCATCACAACATGTGAACATTGATGCGATCATTGATGCCTTCCGGCTTGAAATTTATAATTTCCTCCGATCGTACACTACATGTATGTCCATTACATGTAACGGAAGCAAATTTCTTTTTTTTTAACAGTGTATGTAGATATGATGCGTACGATCGAAGGAAATTATAAATTTCAAGCCGAAAGGCATCAATGATACCTACTGTACAAATGACGAAAAAAAGAGCATGTCATTGCCTGACAATAACAAAACTTCTATCACACTCGTAACTATAAATAAAAAATTCAACATACGTGTCTCGCTCGAACGATGATACAGACTTTCCGTAAATTGTCAAGTAGTCATTTATGAGTTTCTTGTGCCTGTCGTAAGCTGATAAGTGTGCGTAAGCTGGAAACATCGTCGAATCTTTTCGCCTTCCACAAATTTCGCGACGTAAATTACTTTTCAGCTGACGTATTCAGTCAGAAGGTCTGTTTTCTGTGGCTGAACTAAAGTTTGTTCGCGTCGCATGCTCCAATATGCTTCTACCGTAACTCCTACTCACTCCAATGCGTTTGATAGAGTGAGTAGAAGCTATGGCAGGAGCACAGTATACAGTAGCGCAACTCTATTCATTTGGTGCGTTCGGGGAGACGCTAATAGCGCTACTCTGTCATTCTATCTTCGTTGTTTATTAAACGTAAAACAAAGATAGAATGATACATAGCGCTAAGGGTGAAATCACACGGTGCGGAAAAAGACTGCGGAATAGAGAATGCGTCATTAAAGCAACCAATCAGCGCTATTCCGAATAGCGCTGAATAGCGTTGATTGGTTGCTTCAATGACGCATTTTCTATTCCGCAGTCTTTTTCCGCACCATGTGATTTCACCTTAAGAGAGTAAATGAGAAGTCTAGATGGCGTTACCGTATGTAATGTCTCAACTTGCGCATGCGCGCTACGATTTTGGCTTCACCAACATCAAAAGTGCCGACAGAGAGTTGCACTACTGTATACTGTGACCGGGTATCGACCGTCTGTCAGTTCTGATGAACCACTCGGCGAGTCGGTCGTTTTGATGCGTGTCCTTGCGACGTGACGACGCCGTAGACGCTGGCGCCCATCGTAGACGCTGGTGCGGGCTTAGCCATCTTCGCGGATGTTGCATCATTTTTAATATATGGAAAACAATCATAAACGTGATCGACCTCCTATTTGTTTGGAAGCGAGAGCCATAATTAACTAAGAAGAAGAAGACTGTAGTCCGTAGTAGGGTAGGAGTCGGGGCCATTCTCTTGCAGCCACTTGCAGCAGAAGATATCATCCAAATTTCTGCATCTGAGTTGATCATAACTGCCAAAATTGATTCCGTGGATGCCGTTTATGGCCTGTGTAGAGAGTTCACTTGTACGATTAACGTCCTCTCGAGGAAATTTTATTCGAGATTAACATTTGCACTGCAATAATTTTAAAGTGACATATCGAGACCAAAATGAGTAATTGTCAAATAGAAGCATGTAGAAGTAATTATCGAAATAAAGACTGTAGAACCAGAACTATACATTTTCATCGTTTCCCAAGAAAGAATGCGTTTTTATTACAATGGGAGAAAGCTTGTGGGAAAAAATATGTCAATATTAAAAATGGTATGTATGAAATTAAATACATCCTTGTTTACATACATCATAGGCTGCATTCAGCAGAAAAAGCAGCTTTGCAATTATTGTATTCTTTAATATGATTGGTCTTATTCTTAGTTCCTCACTGAATCTAAAAGCAATCATATTCAAGAGATTTTACAACAGCTGCAAAGCTGCTTTTCCTGCTGAACGCAGCCAATATGATTGATCGTGCCCTTAGTTTCTCATATACATGTAGGACGCATCTGTTCCATCCATTTTGATTCAACAGCATACAAAGTGTATGATTTAGACCATCAACCAAAGAAAAGAAGATTAAAATCTGATGCAGTGCCCACACTGAATTTAGGACCGTCAATCAGCAAAGGTATACAAGTATAAGGTTCTTCAGTAATTAAGAGTGTATGATATCATTATGTGATTTTTTATTGGCTACTCCATTGCATTATATAATATATTAATTTGTTCATTATCTTGAATCTACAATAGTACCAGATACTGCAACGAATATAATACTGTCTGAAAAGCAGTTAGAAGCGATGAATACAACACTGTTTGAAGAGCAAATGGAAGCGATGAATACAACATTGTCTGAAGAGCAGATGGAAGCTTCGACTTCAAGACACTCATTAAATTTCAGTGAGCAAATTACGGCACATAATAATCATATTAACTCCCGTTATAAAAGTAGTTACATTCAGCAGAGAAAACTAATCGGTGAGCGCTCAATGATTCTTTAATATGATTGGTTTTTACCTTTAATTCTTAACTGATCCTTTTTTAAGGTATTTATAGTCCGTTCTTATTTTAAGACTATTTTAAATAGTCTTAGAACCTCTTTTATCAACTCTGATTAACACTAATTTATGGTTAATTCAATCATCATGATTGCCAATGTGAAAACTAAACGGTTTATCTCAGAAGAGAAAGAAAGAGAGGACATTCTGATACAATAAATTGCTGTGGCATTTCTATGAGTTGATCATCAATTAATTTAACCAGAAGTTGGTGAAAGAGGCCCTTAAGATTAAGCTAATGCAGCCCTAGGATTAGCTTATAACATCTTAAAACTGTAGAATGGCGATAAACAAATACGTCTTCATGTACTAATAGTGTTATTAGAGATTAATTTTATTCGTTATATCTAACTTTTTATAACTTTATGCTATTAATTTGTAGACACGTTAGAATCTTCTATGTCTGGAGAATTGCTGGAAAACTTTTTGGACAAATCCAACGACCCGCCGATGGAAATTGACAAAAAAGGACTTGTTGAATTTAGATTGCAGAACAATACTTTAAGGAAGCAGCATGTTAACGACAACAAAAAGGAGTATGAAATCGAAGAAAGTGTGATGGAAAGAGAACGACAAAACGAAGAAGAGAGAGATGAAACTAGCGAGCACCATCTTTACGAAGAGGATCAGGATGCAGACAATGAGAGTGAACAAAACGTGAATACTAAAGACAGGTTCAAACTTGATTCGGGAAAGATCAAAATCCATGAATGCAATCAGTGCGGTCGTACATTTCTCCTGCATCAAATGCTAGTATTGCACATTCAGCGCGTCCATCGCCATTGCCAATACGAGTGCGATAACTGCGAGAAACGCTTTTTCGACAAGTGTGATATGGTGAAGTATAAAAGCATACATTTAGACAAGATGCCATTCTCGTGCTCAACGTGTCAAAATAAGTTCAGGCTGATGGATCAGCTGCGAAAACACGAGAAAATACACACGAACGAAATGCATTATGCCTGTCAGCATTGCAGTCGCAGATTTGTCACCATTGAAGAATGCAAGAAGCATGAGAATTCGGAGCATAAGAAAGTAAAGCAGTTCCAATGCGACATCTGCGGTAACTGCTTTGTATACAAACAGAGCTTGCAACGGCACATAACGCTACATGAGAGTAACCTGTTCACATGCAACTACTGTACAGAGGCCTTTGACACAAAGTCATTGTTAAACCAACATTTGTTTACTCACATTGATAATCGACCACATGCGTGTAAAGTTTGCCTGAAGACGTTTTCCCGATTACATCATTTGATCGAACATCTACAAGTTAATCACAGTGGATTGGACGAGACAGAGAACTACTACAGTGATACGCAATCTGAGGCCCAACAATTAACTGTCAGCAGCCCTCCAGTTCATAGCCCAAAATACAAAATTATATTTTCTATTTCAAATACAATACCAATATAATATATATATATTTTATATATATATATAAAATATTATATGTAATAGTTTAAGGAAGTCTTCTAGTATAAATATCCGTTTTCAAAAGTGATTTTTGGGAATTAAATTTATAAAAATGGGTAAATCTAATGTTTTTTATTCATATTTTAAGTAACATCTCAAATTTTTCAAAGCTTTTTATTGTAAATTGTACAACTTAGATATAAATAGACACATAGGTCATGTCACAAAAGGAGCCCTCTCACCATTTTGCGACATGACCTCTATGCGTTATCTATATTTTGTACAATTTAAAATAAAAAGCTTGCAACCCATTTTTTGTTTATCCATTTTATAATAAAAAATTAATTTGATTCCTAAAAATCACCTTTGAAAATGGGTATTCACACTAGAAAATTTCCTTAATAATTTTATTTAAAATATATTTTTTTTAAACCTTCAAGAATTTGTATATAAAAATGCATTAACTTAACTCTATTTTAATAGAGTAAATAAATGATGTTATATAAAGGATGTTAAAATGTCCGATTTTTGGGCTTCCTGAGGAACCTTAGTTAATTACAAAAGGTTATTTGAGATCCATAAAATAATAAAAATAGTTTTATATCCTAGAAATGTAGGGAAAAGGGAAAGTAGATTTTTTTGATGTCATGTGTCTCCTTTTGTAAGTTGAATTTTGGTATACCACGCTAGAACTTGTTATAAATGGATATATTGCAAAGTTACTTCGCCAAATCATCATGGGCTTCTCAATTTGGGATCTGGATGGTCCTGTCACAACCTCTGCATTATCCACTAAACTTTTGGGAATTATTTTTCCATTTTCTGCACGTTACAACATTACTTACAAAATAAAGAAATATTAGTAATATTCAGCATATTAGTAACATTCCGGATAAAAATATAAATTTTTGTCAAAACATAAATACGATTATAACCCTCTATATACGTATAATAATATATACCTTTAAGTACCAATTATCATAAAAATTTGCAATCATCCGATTCGTAATAATTTTTAACGTAGCATACGAAAATTCGACTTACAAAAGACACTTCTATAACACTTTACGACACTTCGCGATTTTCATATTGCGCGCCACACGAAGGTGTAGATGGGTTCGTTTGCAATGCAGCGTACAAAATAAGTGTGGCATTTCCGGGGAAATTTCAAAGGAATCGCATGGCAATCAATCGCTTAGTCCGCGACCTACGATAGGTGTCTTTGTTCAATATACAGGATAAACAAGGACGTCTATTGTATAGGACGTGGCCTAAATGCACGGTGTAAACGTAGCCAATGGGCGAGTTCAAGACGGCAAAGCGGCTAGGCATGCTTATCAAGCGATTGAATATTGATTGGATTTATAAGTAACAACCAATTATGTTCATTTGCTTGGTGAGCCGCTTTGTCAACTTGAACGCTCCCAATGACGGATGGGTATCGATCGATCACAATGGCTGCGGTCCACTTGACGCTACAAACGTTTCGAAGCATTCTTTGATTAGTCAATTCGTAAAATTCTTTGTTCTGATTGGTTGCTCAAACGTTTCGAAGCGTTTGTAGCGTCAAGTGGACCGCAGCCCTAGTTTGCGAGTGCATTTAGTATTACAACCGGTCACTGAGCGCTCAGAGAGCTCTTGTATCTGATTGGCATATTCCATTAGAACTAAAAATATAGACCAAACAGATACAAGAGCTCAGTGAGCGGTCGTGGTACTGAATGCACCCAATAGGTCTGTTTGCGTCGCTTAAGCGGGGAGCACAGACTTTTGCATAACGCATAACATGTAATGCATAAGAAATTCAATCAATCAGAATTCTTTATTTCATGAAAAGGAAGGAAATGGAGGGCTTTGATTGGTACATTTTCTTATGCATTACGTGTTATGCGTTATGAAAGAGTCTGTGCTCCCCGCTTTACTCTTTTTTACATTCAGCATCTTTGCTTCTTTCTTTTCAACGTCCGAATATTTATCTCATTTTAAATGCAAACGTTTTTGGGAATTTGTTGGAAGCAACGCGAATAAACCTATTACGATTGGACACAAAACACTCACTCGACCAATGGAAAAATTTTATATACTGAACGTTGCAGCAAATGGTGAATGGTTGTGTCCAATTATCAAAAGCAGAATTGAGCAGAATGTCATAATGGCTGCGTTCAGCAGACTCAACAGTTTTGCAACTGTTTTATGACTGTCTGCTGTGATAGGACCATTCTTCTAGATCTAAAAGTATGATCCAATTAGCGCGAAGGAAACTTCCAACAGTTGCAAAACAAACGTTCTGCTGAACGCAGCCAATGCATAATATTGTGCACAATTTCATCATGCTTGAATCGAAAAAGTCCATTTAACGATGCACGCTAAGATTTGCAATTGAATTTTTTGTACCGTTCGCTTTTGTATTTTAACTTCTAATTAATTTCGCTTATTTAATTTTGGGTGCAGAAAGAATAATGTGGTGCAGCTACGAAGAATGTATGTAACTTTGACGTTTGCGTAATCAACATTCGAGCGACCTTTTCCTAGTTTTTTCTATTCACATGACAGATGTCAAAATAATCAGAGGTTTATGGATTTATCTTGAATAGTAGGTTTATCTCTCAAACGAGATGGGATAGATGGGACTCGCTGTGGAGAAACGCATGCGCGATACACGTTAAGTGTTTCTAAACAATTGGCAAGATAACAAGTAACATTCTTATCGCGTACTAATTAAAAATGTTTCTGAGTGCGGAGATCAATTTTTAAAGAAGAACAAGATTAAAGAATATATAATACTATTTTTTCTGATTATACTATGTATATATGATTTTGTCAAAGATATGATTGTTATATTCACAAGTCAGATAATTGTAAGATACGAATGAAGATAGCAAATATTATAGCTATAAAAGCACTTTGCAAAAGTGTTGTCTGAACTTCAAAATCATTCATGTAGATGTAAATGATTGTTATGTTAGCATTTGCCAATCAATATTATTGAATATGACGTGGTAAGTTTAATTCTCAAAATATGTTGAATATTATTTATTATGATACTTTCTAATGTTTTGAATTGCGAATTTTATAAGATATCTATATTGTATGGGCAGGAATCCTTTAAAGAAGAACTACTTGACCCAGAGACCGACTTCTGCGCCGCCACTTTTGTCTTATGCAGAAGATAAAGAATTAGACGTTGTTGTTCAAAAGCTCATCTAGTATGTACATTTGATAGAAATTATTATATCATATTTGCGCATATAATGATCATATTTGCGTAATGCAAGTTTTCTTCTTTTGTCATAATTTATAAATACATAGCATATTTTTATTAAGTGCTTTTGACTGATTTTATGAACTAGATTTTGCATTTGTTTACTTGAAAAAAATATTTCAAAAGATATTACAATATATTTACTCTCTTTTAAAGTGTGGAAAGCGCAATAAGAAAATTGACCAAAGAAATGAAGAAATATATGGGAGCTCTGACGAATCTGGACAGGGCTGATCAACGATTAAGTACAAATCTGATCAATTGTGGACTGGCACAGAATAATGATGAATGTAGAAGAATAGTGGAAGAATATTATTCTGTCGCTAGTCAAGTAAGTTAATACTTTGTAGATGTGACATTAACATCCTTCAAGATATTGGTCGTGTTCAGAATGTCTATTTTGTAACAATCGGAAGTTTTCTTCACTGATAGGATTATTCCTATACAGTGTTTATTACCTGGAATTTTCAGGGGATTTTTATTTTTAAAAATTAAATAAAAGGGATTTTCATCGAATTTTATCAAGACTTTGAAAAATTTTTGAAACTTTAAATTATATTTTTAAATTAAAATTCTATCTCTTTTAAAAAAAAAAATTGTTTTTTTGTTTTTTTAATATTGCAAATTTTGGTAATCGGTTAGTAATGAAGATAGTTTACACGTACATTCATACATATTTTTGTGTTTCACAAGTTATTTAAAATATTAGAGTAACAGTAGAACACTATACTTAGTATAAGAATATCTCATACTATTTGACACTATATTGTAGTAAACCTTCCTCATACTATCCTATAAGTTTCGTGGTTCCAATTTTAGAAAATGATAGTCTCGTGGAATCCCTCTTATAATAATTTGTAATATATAATTCGAATTGCTTACAGTCCAATTCATTTCACAAAGTTGTATTAAAAACTTCTAATCTTATTTGGAAAAATCTGGGAATTCTTGAGGAATTCTTTGAGATTTCAGTAAACATCCTGTTTTAGATAAAGTTAGATCAACACGAAGAAAACTTTCAAGAGTTGCAAAAAATAAACATTCTGCTGAAAGCATATTATAATTCGCGCTGCATTTCGTTATTAGGTAGGAAAGAACGTTCAAGAAGTCAGCAGCTTATGCCATAAGACGTTTATAGAACCCCTGAAAAAGTTCAGGAATGAATTTATTACCATCGCTGCGGCGATAGCAAAGCGTGAGGATCTAGTAACCACGTGGAAATATGTGTATAATCGTGTAAAAAAATTACAAGAGAAGAAAGACAGAACTGCAAATCACATCGCGAAGCTAGAGAGAGAACGACGAGCAGAGGAGGTGGCCGCTAAAGAGTTGAAGACTATACACGCTCAATTACTCACGGAATTACCAACGTTTCTTGGAAAAAGATTGGAGTACATCAATCCAAGTATTCACGCTGTGATTATGATACAATTAAATTATTACGGACATGCGACGCAGTTATATACACAATTGATGCCTATTCAGTATTCTTCTGAACTCACATCAAGCACAATAGTACCTGAAGAGGAACATCAGCGAGTTATAAATACTGAATTAAATAGATTGCGAGCGCTAACTATAGTAAAGGATCACTGAACAAGTACAACACATTCCTCTAAAAATTTCTGAAACAATGTGTAATACATATATATATTTTTTATACAATTATTTTTAAATAAAAATGTTTATTTTTATGGAATGATTAAATAGCTAATATACTAAATAAATTTATTGCTTGGCAGTATATACATTATGAGATCTTTTGCAAAAATGTGCCGCTTTAAGATGGAATCATTCCTTGTTTTCTTTTTATTTCTGCACCCATTCGCCGATTATGATTGCCATGTGTAGCCTTGTGTACACTTTTTCTCTTGTTAACTGGCCCGTTTTTGTCTTGTTTACCATCTTTGGATTTACCTTTAAAAAAAATTGTAATCTATAATCTGAATTATTTGGGGTACTTCTTAATAGTATATTGGATCGCTAAATATATTAGAATTTTTCGATTTGACATATTTAACAAGCAAGCAAATCAAATCAGAGAAAAATCAGATTGTGGATATTCGCTAAGAATCTAATTAAATATAATTACTATATACAATTAATTACAATAATACAATTAATATTATATTTCAGAAATGCTATTCCGAAATGTAATAAATCAATATTTCATTGAACATATGTACATATAAATGATATATTTCTATAAGTTGAAACAATTTTGTATATTTACCGAATAAACATAAAATGGTTCATTTTATATCTGTCATTACGTGTTTTGTAATAACTTAATAAAAAGCTATAAATGATTTTTAAAAAATTTACCCAAATAAATTGCAATTTACTGTTTACATTGTATGTAGTCTTACCTTCTCTTGATTGTTTTCGTTGTTCGGCTTTAGCACGTAATTCCGCTGGATCTTGTACAAAATGGTTACTATTTTGTACAGGTTTCTCGTCTTCTATCTCTGTATCATCCTCGGAGCTGGCATTAGTTTTATCGAATGTCTGAAATACCTATGAAACAAATTTATTGTATAGAAAATTAAATTCAAGCACAATTATATACATTATAAAGATAAAGAACATTTGAACTAACCCTTGGAGTAGTGAAAGATCTTGCATCTACCTCTGTAGAATCATCCTGTGCACTACCACGTATGTCATGACTATCATACGTGTCATCATATTCATCATCGTATTCATCGATAACAATGCTGTATTTTTCATAGATATTCCTCGCTTCTCTAATTGCAGATTTGTCGTTCAACATTTCATTTGCGTTTCTGTATTTATCTTTCCTAGGAAAAAGATGTATTTAATTTTAACAAAATCAATGTTAATATGTGTTAATATGTGCAAATTTTATATCACTACAATGATTTACTTTTTCCTTATGTCTGACACGTCTGTAAATTTCTCTGTCGCGACTTCAAATTTATCATTGTAGGAAACATTCAACTCTTGAAAATCGTTGGCCAGATTTATGGTAGCCAGGTCCATAGCAGCCGATGTTTCCTAAAAGCATATATAATGCAGATTAAAAAAAATTCTCGCTATTTTAACTAATCATAGCAAAGAGATTATTTTATTACTTACCATTGGATCAGGTGGTATATATGGTATTGTCCTATCTAATTCTTTCAAATTATGTGGCAACTTGTTCTCCAGAACTGCATTTACCACAGATTCAATGTTATACTTGTAATACTCTAAACATAGCTGAAAGTTTTAGATTGCAGAAATTTATGAGAAATGCTATTCAATATTTTTTATTTGGCGAATTTAGTATTAATAATCGGTGCTTTACTTTTCATCCATTATTTCTAATTATAAATTAATTAAATAAACTAAATATATAACAAAAATCTTACCTGTATAAAACCTTCACCACATTCGCACAAAATTTCTTTTACCTCCGAGATAAGAGACATTAAGTTGTCGGGATATTTTGAACCAGATTCTATCTTATTGTTCATGCGATTCACATCATTGGAATGTTCTTTTCGTTGGTTATTTTGAATACCGCTAGATCCAGCAACAGCTGTCTATAATTATAGATAATATAAAATTTTTTAATAAATCTATATATATACATACATACATATATTTGTAAGATTGTCACATACATTTGTATCATTGAGTGATGCATTAGCTAACATCTTGGTATCTCCAATCGATGCATGCAATGATTGCAATATATATTTGCTTTTTATCATATCACTGATTATTGGATATGTAAAGAAAATTAAGATTTAAAACTGTATATATCTATGTATAATAATATAATATTGTAATCTCTCTTTAAACAAGGATACATTTCAGGATAAAGTTTAGTCATAATTTGAAGATCGGCATCAACTGGATAAAACTGATGATAATCTATAATGAATTCTTTTTCAGAGATAGCATTTATTAGTGAATCCAAATATTTATCTACGCAATTTCTTATCTCGTTTTCCGTTATTGTGTTTCTGTAGATATAACGTTAGTAAGTAAATCAAATATTTTAAATAGGATATCCATATAATTGTTTTTATTATAAAATGATCTTTTCGCATACTTACATTTTTTCTTGAATTTGTAATACGGGTTCATAAATAATAATTCGATAAAGGTTTAACATTTCAACTCTGGTTACATCGAGACGATGCTTCAATTCGATGTACTTTGGCATATTTTCCTCGCTGTATGCTAACTTGTCTAACTTTTTATACATTTCAGGTATTGTACTCCCATATATTGAAACTATCCTAGCAAACAGAAACAATATAGTGGCACCAAAATCAAAATATGTTGTGCATTTGAGCAAAGTGTATACGTTCACAAATAAGAGAATTTCAATTTAATGAAAATTGTCAAATATTAAAAAAAACTAGTTTAACACAAAAACATGAATATATCGTCAAAAATAATGTGTTAGATTAATTAGATGAGACATTAGTAATAAGATAAAGTCTTTTATTCACTTGTTTATGAAGTCATCTTTGTGAAATATGGCAGTTAATAGAGGATAGACTCTTAACAATACAGTAAGAGTTGATGATATATCTAGAATATAGAGTATTAAATCCTCTAAATTATACACTGTCATCTCAATGGAGCCTTCTCTCTCTGAAAGCGCCACTGCTTCAGTAACATTACTTGGATAATTCTCAAATCTTCGTTCGACATTTTCGAGAGCCTATGATAGTAAAGATGATAGACTGATTGATTCACTTGTGAAACAAAAATTATAGATCCACAATTTTTAATCTATAAGTTTCTATTTTTGATCAACGATAATTGTTGATTACATTTTTAAGAAAATTTAACTTAGAGAAGAATTAATTATATCAATTCATATTTGTGACTGACATAAATAGAACCAGTAACCGAAATGTAAATACAAGAAATTAATGTTTCTCCTTTATCATGATTAAACAAATATATATCACCTTTATAAGGCATGGTATAGATTTCTGAAGGTCATCATTGTACATTGGCTGTAGATTAAATATGCTCTCTACAATTTTCTCTACTACTTTGGTACTTTCTCTACCATACAGTTGACACAGATCAAATATAATCGGTATCGTGAATATGTAATACTCATACAATAGTTTCCCAAGATACGGACGGTTCATGTATTCTGCTGGACTCTGCTTGTTTGTGCAGAGACGCGCGAAGACGATAAGTACGTTGCGACGAAGATTCTCTAATAACTCGAGCATTTTTGGGTCAGCAGGAATTGTAAAAAAGAAACTAACGTATCCATAATCGATGTATTGTATATAATATTGGACCAGAATCTAAATAAAGAAAACTATTTGTAGTAACTGGACACGCTGTTAACTGTAAATTTGTGCTTTTCAGTTGAATTTTTTGTATCATTCATCTTTCCTGTTTTTCTCTCTAACATGAAAAAAAAAAGAGAAAAGATGAACGATACAAAAAGTTCAATTAAAAAGAACAGATTAAGTATTGAAATTACTAAGAACATTATTATACCGATAAAATGGAAGAGCCAGTAACCAGTTTAAATCTTCAATTATGTAACTCACAATTTCCATCCAATGATCCTTAGCACCCATAATTTCTGATCCATCTTCATTGTATATCTCTGGCGCTACGTAACTTAGAAAGTAACGTTTATCTGCCCACTTCATATTCTAAAATTCAATATTAAACAATATACAGGAACTTAAACGTTGAATAAATATGGCTTATATATGAAATTATTAGATGTCCAATAAAAATGGAACATGAATTTCGAGATTTCAGATTTGTTTTTTTATTGTTGAACTGCACTAGTTTTCCTTCTTGCTTTTGCTAAATTTTAAACATACAATTCCATCTTTTTTATTTTCTCTTAACATAAAAAAAGAAAAAAGTTAAACCATACAAGTTTAGTTAAAAAAAACAGGTCTATAGCTATTTCACTTTAAGTCATGATTATACTGTATATTTCAAGGTTACTTTGCCTGAAATTTTTGTATATTGTTACATTAAATTTACACAAATTTTTTTCATATAGCCAATACAAGCAATGTAAAATATATAAATTATTCTAAATTGAATATAACAGAAGGAACGTATAAAAAGAAGTAATTAAATTTTATGATTGTTAAAATATCTGACTTTAGTACTTAAATAAAAATATATATGTATATATGATAGAAGTTTTAGCACAGTCTAGTATAATAACAAAAAACATAGATTTTAATGATCTATAGGCTGATATTCATAATTGAAGGAGGGAGATTCATAATACTTATTTTAAAACCATAATGTCTTAAGATACTTAATAGAGCTCTCTATGATTCATCTTAAGACCATTTAAGACATTATATAAGATCTGATTATGAATGCTAACCTATATTTGTTTCACTCCAACAGTTGAAGTGAAACAAATATGATGCAATAAGTTGGAGTCTAACTTGTATATTAGTGTATACCAGTTTAAAATTTTCATCAAGAAAAAAAAACAGGCCTTAGCTCTCTTTTTTATTTCTGCATTAGAACTTTCTTTTTCACTTTTGTCAAATATCAAACATACATCTATTTAACTTGTAAGTTCCAAAGGTATACATTATAATTGTTATAAAAAACAGATCTATAATATGCATGTAGATCAGATTTTATGTGTAAACACAACTTTGCTTCAAGTATAAAAAGTTAAACAGATCTGAATTTCCATAATGCTAAGATTAAAAAAAATTAACATACCAATGCATCTATCACAACAATCACCCCATCATTCTTAATATTCAGCTGCAGTTCCTCCAAAGGCACGTGATCTGGATTCTGTTTAATAACAAAGAATCATTTTATAAATTAAATATTTCCTGTCGGCACAAATTGCGCTACATATCTTAAAAATTACAAGTTGCCAAAGTTAATTACCTCGTAGAACCTCATGATTTTGCATTGTTTGTCGTAAAAAACAATTTGCTGCCGATTTGTAGTTCGACAGAAAACAATAGAATAAGAAATCAATGCAATAGAAGTCTTGATAGATACGATGATAAAACGGAGGTCGTCACAAAACCAGATGAAGCAGGTTTAGAGCGAAGCGTTCAGTAAATTGTCGAGTAGCGTGTCCTCGAAAAATTCAGAGAGCCGGGTAATCCCTAATAATTCCGGCCTATATAAATGCTGCGAATATGTCAAGATATGTAAAACTGAAAGCTACAAACGTGACATTTTCTGGAGGCAGAAAGAAGCCCGAGAGGGCGCGAGAGAAGACCGATCGCTAAAGTCACTAGATCTATAAAGGCGTGTTCCAAATTTACTGCCAGCACTGAAAATGCTATAATTTACGTTACGTGCACTATAGATTTTCGGTAGGCAATCAATAGGTCTGTTCGCGTTGCTTGCACTTTCGGCACTCGGCATCTTCCCTTTCTCTCTTTTCAAGGCCAAATATATATCTATCTCATTTTAAGGGCCACTGTCACCAAGCTCAGTTAACTTAACTGGGCCAATTAATCCATCGGAATTGACCAATCTGTCAATTCTTCAAACAAAATGACAAATGCGATTGGTCAATTCCGATGGACTAACTGGCCTAGTTAGATCAACTGAGCTTGGTGACAGTGGCCCTTAAAATGAGATAGATATATATTTGGCCTTGAAAAGAGAGAAAGCGAAGATGCCGAGTGCCAAAAGTGCAAGCAACGCGAACAGACCTATTGATTGCCTATCGAAAATGATCCTAAGGGTGAAATCACACGGTGCGGAAAAAGACTGCGGAATAGAGAATGCG